GAGGGACAGTGTCAGGAGGGTCATAGGCCCAGCCCACGGCCTGAGGTCTGTGTGGAGCAGGATGGACAAGCCTCAGCGCCCCAGGCCGGCGGGAAGGGCGGGGTGGAGCTACTGGAACCACATTCTCCAGGACACCCCGAGCCCAACAACTGCATAAACACGAGGTGTCCTGAGAATTCCAGCGCTCGAGTCCGGACTGCATATTTCAGATGGACTCGGAAAGGGACAAGCTCACGGTGCCAAGGCTGGGCCGGGCCGTGGTGAGGGTCAGGCAGTCACTCTGCGGTCATCCTGGCCTCCTCTGACACCGGCTCTGGGACCTCAGAAGGTGACAGCTACAAGTCGGGTGAGCAGACCTCGGGGACAGACACCTACTGCTCGGCACCCTCCCCGCCCATGGAGCTCCCAGGGCCCCTTGGCAAAGTGCGTGCGGCCCTAACATGGTCTCCTGAGCCTGAACTTCTGAGCGTGGGGCAGGGAATATGACATCGCATAACGTCTGCGGAATCCAGAGGCTGTCTGACTGACGCCAGCAGCTGGGAACTCACCCCCCTTAAGTTGGCTTCTCTGAGGCCAAGCAGTTTACTTTGGGGAGGTTTTCTTTGCTCAATTTTTAAAATGTTAAGCCCAGATCTCCCGCCTTCTAACTTCCTGATCTAATTTTGCCTCCAGGGCTTTCAATGACCCCTCCCCACCTGGAAACACCACTGACATCTCCTCCATGTTTAAACCTCCCACATGACGACCATGCAAACCCCGCAGCCAGCTGCCGTGTCTCCCTCCACCAGGTCTGAACGCAGCGAGGCCTCACACTCAGGCAGTGCTGGAGGCGGTGGCCTCCCGAGGTATGTGTGCAGGTGACGTGACCCTCCCAGCGGAGGAGCGAGTGGTGGAGGATCGGCTCTGTCACTCAGAACTTCAGCTCCCCAACAACTCTGTCGTCTGCACATTTGATCCACAGGCTTCTGAGGTCTGATCAAGCCACTGGCTCTGCACCTGAGCAGCTGGGCGGTGCAGTGCACCAGGGCCCTGCTGGGACGACACAGACCATCCCCTCACCCACACCCCAGGGCTGCGGGACTCCATCATGGTGAATGCATCTGCCTCCCAGAACGTCTCCACACCTTGGTGCCGGCAGCGGCGGCACCTTCTCTCCTCAGCAGAATCGTGGGTGAGACCCCGTGTGTGAGAGGAGTGGAGGGCTGACCTGGTTGAAGCTGGAAGGTGCTTCCCCATCTGCACCGGCCCCCAGGCAGTGGCACGGAAGAGAACTGGAAAGGCCTGCACCAGCGGACTTGCAGAGCTCAGGCCTGGCCTGCCCAGAAGAGAAGGGGAGGTGTCAGGGCCCCAGCCCACGGCCAGCGCCATCCTGCAGCCGACCTGCGCGGGGGGGAGAGGGGGGGCTGATGCCCAGAGAGGAAACAGAGGCTCCGAGCTCCTGGGAGAGGCAGCATCACCTTCTCCATTTGGAAGCTCAGAAACGTGTGCGGAGATGAGTGAGAGAGTCGCTGAATGAGGAAGGGCAGCTCTGCCAAGACCGAATCCCGCCTTTTGCCACAAATGTCACCAAACACTGTGTCCAGCTCAGTGGACACAGCCAGGGGCAGCCTCGTCTCCGGGCTCCGGCAGGCCCACCGTGAAAGGACAGCATGGTCTCCGGCCCAGGACTGGCACTGTGGTAGCCACAGGGAGGACGCGGGCAGAAAGCACCCATCCTGGGCAGCCCCGGCCTCCGGAGCGAGAAGGCAGCTCTGCTGGGAGCACGAGGCCCTCCGGTGATGACCCCCTCTACCTGGAGAGGTCCACCAACTGCCCCTTCTGTCTGAATGAAGCTGGAGATCAGAGATCACCAAAAAACGGCAGGGAATTCTTTTAAACATGAGTGACAACATAGAAACGGGTAGAGCAACACAATTTTAACTTTTGAGACAAAGCCTGGAGCTCAAGAAAGCAGTGAGGTCTGCTCCTGGCCCTGCTCCTCGTTCCCTTCCAGGCCCCACAAGGGATTTGCTGGGGAAACGGCCGATGCCCAGTGCTCAGGAACCAGCCGGCCAGGCCTCCGCGCTGCCGCCGCCTCCGCCTCCACGTTTGGCCGGTAGAGGGCGCTGCATCACCACACTCTCACTCCAGCCTAGGCCTTGCAACCCGATCCTTGGTTCACACAAAGACCCGGCTTGAGGGAGTTGTTCTTATGCTTGTGGTTCAATACTACAGGAGTAAGAAGCAGCAAAACACAAACCTGCTATGACGTGATATCACCTATGTAAAAGTGCACAGTAAAATGACAATGATGCACCTTTGCTCACGGAAATGGGGTTTCTGTGTGTTTGTTATTTCTGTATTCTGCCGATTTTCAACAAGTCTGTCTTACTCTCATAATCAGAAAATCCCCAAGATTGTTCAGGGGCTCGGGAGTTTTTGGGGGGAGGGAGGCGGTGGATGAGAGCAGCACGAGGTCCCTAGGCTGATGGAGAAGCATTTCTGCAAAACTGAGTACTTGCCTGGACCTGCGCTGAGCGCTGGGAGATCCCGGAGTGGACACAGCCCTGCCTCGAGGAGGTCCCAACATGAGCACAGCACAGAGTGAACGCTTAACAGCCGAGAGGCGCTCAGAACAGAAAGCCAAGACCCAGGCCCAGCCCCTGGTGTTCAGGGAAGGCTTAATGGGAGAGGGGGCATGGAGCTGATAGCACAGGTGTCACATGAGCAAAGACGCAGACGCAGGAAACAGGAAGGGAAGAAGACGCTGCCAGGTCAGTGTAAGGTCTGAGGCTTGGGGAGGGGAGAGCAGAAGCTGCCAGATTCCTCTGCTGGGAGGTTAGAGAGACCTGAAGCCTCAAGGGGTAAAGTAACGCACTCATCCGTTCATCAATCTTCAATGGAAAACTTGAGTAAGTGATCAGCATTTCATCTTTAAAAATTATCGAAGATGCTGGATAAGAAAACAACACAGAAACCAAAGGCACAGAAGCCCTATGACTCGGGAGGCTCGGCAGGTGTGCGGGCGCCTGAAACCCGCCGCCCAGCGGCAGCGGAGAGCTGGGACAGACAGTGGTTTTGACTGGGAAGCACTACTGTAACATTCAATTATCCTACTGCCTACTGGCTGACTTAACTCAGCCAAATTAGAATACATTTTATATTGACTATTTTGACATTTGTTTTATTTGGCAAGTAAAACAAAACTGATCCAATTTCCTTACAACCACTGTAAACCATAAACTATACAACAAGAGGTTATAAAATATATAAGCCTTATAAACACCACCTGCAGTTCCGCCCGGTGCCGCCCCGGGTGTCTCGGGCCCTCTCACCTCAGTGGCCAGCGACCGTGCTCCACCACTGACCGGCAGCCTTCTGCTTTAACTCCCTGGGAGAAGCAGCACTTTCTTTACCCAACAGAAAGGTAGAACCTGCCCTGAGGTTGTGCCCGTTTCTAGGTCCTTCCAAGCCATATGATGTCAACAGGGAGCAGCTGTAACTACCCCAGGGATGAGCCTAAATGAACCCGCCCACAGGTGATGGGCCTGAGCTGCCCCTGAGCACAGGTGACCATGGTAACTGTACCTCTGACCGTGCCCTGCGTAGTGAGCAAGCGCTGAACTGAGTTGCATTAGCCTCGAGCGCCTAACCCAGGGGTGGGGAACCTTTCTTCTGCCAAGGGCCACTGGATATTTACAACATCATTCGAAGGCCATAGCAATTATCAACTTAAAAGTAGCCTGCTGTATTTGGGCAAACATTTAATTCATTAACTCCCCTAATGCCTTGGCAGGGCCAGACCAAACGATTTCGAAGGCCTTATACGGCCCATGGCTGGCCGTTCCCCACCCCTGTCCTAAACCAAACAGAGACACTCAGCTGCTCCACCTGCCCTCTGGCTACTCATTCGCTATCTGTGTCTTTTCCCATCGAAGTGAACTGGAAAACCGCTTCTGAAGCCTCAGGCGGTTCCAGGGGTAGTTAAGCTGAAGGACCACTCTTGGTTGTGGGTCTGTCAGGGGAAAGCCCAGACTATCTTTATGGAGGATGAGCTGAAGGACGGAGCCCTCGGAGCTGTTGGCTTCTTCCAGGAGGTGGATGCTCAGAGACCAGTGCAGCCTCGCCACCCCTGCACCTCCACGGGCAAGGCGTGGGTCGTGGATCAGGAGGGGGAGCCCGCCAGTGACCATTTTGCCCTGATCCTGACAGATTGTGTTCATCTCTATTGGCCCACACGGAAGCTTCTAGATCCATTCTCATTTATGTTACATCAATCCCCAATGACACTGCCCTGCCAAACCTTTCTTGTTTTATTTACTTTTGTAATCCCCGTCTCAAACTTAATCCATCATCACTGTTTGTTGTTCCTTGTCCTCAAATAACTTCCTCCTAGTGATTCGAGGTTTCTTTAGAGACAGAATTCCTTTCCCACCCCCGTCTTGCAGAAAGTGGAGACCGTGTCCACCTCGATTCCGACTGAAATCGGCTGCAGAGCGCCCAGGTTGCTCTCCGGAATTTCTTTGTGGAAACAATGATTAAAACTAACATCTCCTGAAAAACTTCTCACTATTCTCTCAAACCCAAACTGCTCATGTCTTAGTTCTACTCATTGGGAAAAGGAACAATGTGAAAATGAACACAATTACTTACCAACCCTCCTGGGTTTCAAATGAGTGGCTGGCCCAGGCAGAGAAGGAGCTGCAACTTCTTCCGGCCAGGCTCCAGCCACGGGGCTGCGGGCCCTGCCTGCGTGCAGCCACCAGCCCTTCCAGCTGCATGCTCTGCTACTTTAGGGGCCTTCAGAACGTGTGCAGGACAGAATACACAATGGCCTTTATATTCAAGTAATGCAAAGATTTCTAATTGGATTTTAAAACATCCTACCTTCGTGCAGAAGGTAGATTGCTTCTGCACGATTTCAGCAGATACTGAAGGGGTTCTGAAACATGTGCCCTGGAACCCAAGACCACGTGACTGTAACATGCATCGCAGCACGAGATGCCAGGACCAGGCCTCACCTGGGAAGGCTGGGGGCTGGGGTGGAAGCAGCTGACGACTGGGAAGGTGTTGTGGGTTGAGATGAGTCATGGTTTCTTGGAACTCTGCCCATTCGATACCAGATCCCCATGCTGTTCAGTTCCCTGTAGGAGAAAACAGAAAACTTCATGGTGCAGTTTAGCACAAAGCATTTACCTGAGCGACAAGGCAAACCAACTCCTTTAAAAGAATCACAGCCTCAAATACCAGGGAACTGTTGTCCACAGACTGGTCACATCACCCCCTTGGGCCCTGGGTGTCACAGTTCGGAGCTGGCCTTCCTGCCTTCCTACTGCACTTTCCTTGGTTCTCAGTCTTTAAACTTTTTTTAATTTTGTCATTTAATTGTGGGTGTTTACATGACGATCCACTTCAAGCCCCACTTCTAGTTCAGTGATACCGGCTCCCCTCGCACTTCAAGCAAACACCACAGCTTGCCTGTCACCCAGCTTGTGCCAGGCCGATGGGCAAAGGCCTGGCTTTCAGGGGAAAGAGGAAGGTCTGGATTAAATGAACAAGAAGAGAAACAGAACATGACCCAGATCCAGGAGGCAATCTCAAAAGCCAATAGGAGAACTTATCTGTGGGGCCCCACGGGGTCCAGTGAGATGCCTGCAGAGCCAGCCAGGGAGAGAGGCACGCGGCCGAGGGCCGACAACCATCTACCACACCGATGAAATCCTGGGTCTCGGGTGACTGAGTACAATGAACACTTATTGTCTTTAGGACACCCAGCATCCATTCACTCCACAGTCTGACTTTATATCTCCCCTCTGCATCTGGGGGCAGCCACCCCTCATTGTTGGTCTCTGAGTTCCAATGGCTCGGGCCTGGGAGAGAGAACGACATTTCCCAGGCAGCAGTGACAGGGCCGGGGTGCACAGGACCCCAGGGGCATCCATCAAGACCAATGAGACTGAGTTCTGGCACTTCTGTTTGAATGATTGAGAACACAGACTTGCTCTTTGCCTCGGGACTTGAACCTGGAGGAAAAGTAGGCGAACCAAGCGGGCCACCATTCCCCCACTGGGGAGAACATGTCTAGGGATGGGGTCTCCTGGAATCAGTGCCAGGAGGAGGGAGGGAGAAACTAGATCCTAGTGATGTTCTCCGAGCACCTACTTCGGGCCACACTTCGCCAGCCTGGGCTGGGTTCCCTCTCACCCACAGTCAAAAGAGCCCAGAGTGAAATCCTGAGATTCCTTGTACTTCGTGCTTATGAAATGGCTTCAGAGCCAGGCCTGTGCCGATACTAAGGCCACCGGTGAACCAGCCCTCTGCTCATCAGGGAAGATGAACGTGCAGCCAGAAAACTGCACAAGGAATTACCATGTGGTCATGAAATAGCACGTTTTTCTCGACTCAGAGCCCCCCACTGGCATCCGGTGCACTGGGAGAAAATCCACACCACGATCATGTCCCACGAGGTCCTGGTGGCCGCTCCCCTCCCCTCTCCCGACTCCCCCTCGCTCGCCCAGCCAGCCACGCTGCTCCCGGACATGCCACGCCCGTTCCCACGGGCGTCCCCTCCTCTGTCGGAGGCCCTGCCTCTCACACTCTGCAGGGCGGCTTCTTCTCACGCTGGAGGCCTCTGCTCAAGCCTCCCCACCTGACCCCCTCGCTGAAGGGCCGCTGGTTCACTGTAGCGTCTCGTTTTTGTTGCTCCCTAAAATGATATCATCATCATTGTCCTGTTGGTTGCTCGCCTCTCCTGTCAGAGCACAACTCTGAGAGCAGGCTCTTCGTTTGCCTCAGTCGCCACCTGCCAGGTCTCTGGCCATGGAACGAAGGTGCCGTGAACTCAGGGGGTGAATAAACTGCCGAGAGCCGAGGCTCAGGGGTCCCGAAGGAGAGAACCCCTGGGCTTGGGGGCACCTGGAAAGGCCCACAGAGCGTCAAGGATAAACACCAGGACAAGGGCACGGAAGGCCCTGAGTGCGGCGAGGGGCACGCGCTGAGGCGCGGGGGTGGACAGCGTGGTGGTCTGGACCGGCTGCAGCTCGCACAGGGAGAGGAGGCGAGAGAGGCCTGGCTATGGACTCACCCAATGAACGTGTACTGCGGGGGGGCCTGCTTGGTCCGGCCCATGATCCGGATGTCACAGATCGCCGCCTCCGTGGAATCCCGGGGGATGAATTTAATGCACAGCCTCTTCTTTCTGAAAGCCACTTCCTCTGCAGGAAAGAACAACAAGGAAAGGTGTGAGTCTCTGTATCAGCGGTTTTCAACATGTGGGTCGCGAGCCCTTTGGGGGGCGAACGACCCTTTCACAGGGGTTGCCTAAGACCATCGGAAAACACATATATAATTACATATTGTTTTGTGATTAATCACTATGCTTTAATTATGTTCAGTTTGTAACAATGAAATTGGGGGTCACAACATGAGGACCTGTATTAAAGGGTCGCGGCGTTAGGAAGGTTGAGAACCGCTGCTCTATATGGAGCATCAGGTCTCCCCTAACGTTCCCTTTCTGGCGGCGGAAGGGGCTGGTCATCCAAGCGCCCGACAGAAGGGCTGGCCCTGCGCCTCCTGCCCTCCCCGGGCCCACAGCGGGCAGCCGGGTGTGCAGCCGGAGCGCAGCCTTTCCCCGCGGAGAGGGGCTCCTGGGGTGCGCCCCCTCTGCGAGGAGACGTCACACCTGCTCACTGCGGCAGCCTTCAGACACAGGCACACGGACACCGGCGCGTGAGCACACGTTACTGCACGGACTGTTTCCATTTTTTCCTTTTCATTGTAGAAATTTTCAAACATTCCCCGAAGCACATGACCCCACATGTTCCTGTCATCTAGTTTCAACGCTGCCCCCAGTGAACAGGCTGGTTTCATCCCACGTGGCCTGGCTGAAGGATTTAAGATGAATCCCTAACACCGTGTCTTGTCACCTGTCGATAGCTCAGTAGGCATCTGGGGCAGACAATCTTTTTTAACGCAATCACCATGCCATGATCATCCTTAAGAAAATGAACAACAATTCCTAATATCATCCAATAAATAGTCTGTATTCAAGTTCCCTTCATTATCTCAAGAATGTCATTTCACTGCTGGCTTGTCTGACTGTGGCTGTCAGGTCTCTCAAGTCCCTTTTATTCTGTTTCAGTCTCTCCCCTTCCCTGTCTTCGGGGCGCTGGTACTGGAGAAACTGGGTCACTTCCCTGTACCTACGAACTGGCAGCTACAGCTAAAGGCCCAGTAAGAGGCAAGTTAGGGTTCTTTAGGCAATAACACTTCCCTGGTGGTGCAGGTACATCCTGCAGTGACAGCTCACCCCCTCGGCTTCTGGGGGTGTCGGCCTGTCCCCCGTGATGAAGTCCCCAGCAGCTACTCTCTGAGTATTCACCTCCCCTGACGACTGCTGCTTAGATCCATCATTTCATTAAAGCAGTGGTTCTCAACCTGTGGGTCGCGACCCCTTTGGGGGTGGAACGACCCTTTCAAGGGGTCGCCTAAGACTGGAAAACACATCTATAATTACATATTGTTTTTGTGATTAATCACTATGCTTTAATTATGTTCAATTTGTAACAATGAAAATACATCCTGCATATCAGATATTTACATGACGATTCATAACAGTAGCAAAATTACAGTTATGAAGTAGCAACGAAAATAATTTTATGGTTGGGGGTCACCACACCATGAGGAACTGTATTAAAGGGTCGCGGCGTTAGGAGGGTGGAGAACCACTGCATTAAAGGTTTCAAAGTGGCGATTTTCTAAATCTGTCATCCTTCCCCATTTTTAGCTGGAATTCTTCTATATAAAAAAACTTTTCTTCAACTACTTGGTCTCTCTGAAATATGTTGTATAGAAAACAAGATAAATATGTGATTCTTTATCAAGTCTTAGTGATGAGTCTGTGCCCTCGCAGCCCCCGCCCTCGGTGGCCAGCCAGGTGTTTGCTTGCTCCTCTGTGGTTTTTAAACACGAGTTTCAATTAACTGCATCACTCAGACATGAGTCAGACAGACCTGGGTTGAACCCCACCTCCGCCACTTCCCAACACCGTGACTTTAATCTCTCCGAGCTCTGCCCTGCTGTCTGTAAAAGGGGGCGAATGAAACCCCACCCGGAGGGTGGCCGGTGGATGAAGTGGGGTGGGATAGGCTTCCCTTAGCCCCGTGCCTGGCACACGCATGAGCTCAATAAGGAACAGCATGAACGTTCTTATCGCCATCAAGGAAGCCTCCAGCACACGGTTTAAGTCAGGGCTCAGCCCTGACTTTCAAGACCTTTCCATTCGGGTCAGGAAATAGGCATCAAATCAGGGAGCAGCATGAGGAGGGCAGGGCAGGCCTGTGGCCATCTGGACTTTACCAAGGATCAGAGGTGCTGGGTGCTGTGTTGTTGTTTGGGGAGGGGTGGGGCGGTAAGAGCCAGATGGAACTCAGAAACTGTGGGTTCTCTTCCTTGGTGAGGACACCGAGGGCTGGATGGGACCTACAACCGAGAGTAACAAGGCCCTGAATCCAGACCCCAACAGCAGCCGCGCACCATGGAAGATCCCGCACCGCAGGTGAGAATGCAGGTATTTCACTTGCTCTTGCAGCGCTGCTCTCTGCTCCCTTCCTCCCCCTACAGCATGGAGCCACTAATTACACACGCTTCAGCGGGCCTGGTTTTAAGTAAATATATTATGCAGAGTCAATAGAAATGTGTTCAGTCATGCTAATGAACACAGAAAGGACACAGCACTTTACTAAAACAAACAGCCTTCCAGTGTCTAAGTACTATGTGGATTGCAACAAACTGTATTTTAAATTGATTACAGGAGTCTCCTCCTTTCGGCTGACTTTGTAAAATCAGGGCCTTACATGCACCCAAACTGACCTGTCCCCTGGTAAAGTCTCCAGGAAATGGCCATGTGACCTGAAATGAAGAGGCTACCCCGATCCCACCCACCTTGTGAGATAAGACACCTGGTGGAGAGGCCTGGACAACCTCAGAAAGTCCACGGGGAGAGGCTGCCCAGCCCGGATCACGGCCCAGGCTCACCCCACGGCAGCCACACCGCCTGTGGCCCAGGCAGGCCCCCACCCTGGGCTTCCTCGCTGAACTGGTTCAACGAGAGGAAAGTGCAGCATGGGAAATCCCTTGTGGCTCTGCAGTATCAACATAAAGACACTGTAAGTCAATTAGTTGTCAAAAATGAACACCAATTCTAAAACGAAAAAAGCAGGGGGGGGAGTGGAAAATTAACGCAAGTCTACAGGCAATTTTAGTTCTCAAGCAGAGAAGCCATTTAAGAATAAGCAAAGGTAGCAAGCACACTCTTGTGAAATGTTCAGTCTTGCTAATAAATAACGAGATGAAAATTCAATAAAATGGGATAGCAAAACTAAGTAAAAAATTTAAAGCCTATGCTGGCAGGTCTGTGGAGAACAGGTACAAACCTGTGTCATTAGTGGCACCATGTATTGGTATTTCTGGAAGTTACTTTGGCAACAGAGAGTAATAACGCTTATCTTTATTGAGCCCATCCTCCGAGCATGGCACTGTGTGCAATGGGTACCTTAGGCCAGGGGTCGCCAACCTTTCGGACCTCATGGACCACCAGCGGTTGGCAACCGCTGCCTTAGGCAATTCAAAGATGAATTAAACACGGATCTTGCCCTCAAAGAAAGAGATAAGTAGCAAAGACATGAAGAAAACACATAAATGGCTAAAATGCAGCTAGAAACATTATTATGAGGTAGCTAATACCCCCCCTCCCCATTTTACAGATGAGGAAACTGAGGCCCAGGAGGGTGAAGTCCTATAGTTGTAAGTGCAAAGCCAGACTCAATACCAGGCGACTCGACTCCACAGCCCAAGTTCTCCACAGACCACCCTGCACTTCGTCCTCGTGGAGGTAACGATGGGAATTCAGAGGCAGAATCACGCCCTTGGGCTTCCCACACTGACTTGCATGGCTTACTCCCCTCCTGCCCTTCAGTGAGTGTGTGCACTGAGAAGGCAGACGGGACCTGACCTCCGACTGGTTAGCCCTGGCTCGGTGTGTGCTGACGCAGCTTCTTGTTGCCACACGCAGGTCACCCACTAGACTAAGGTCCCTGTGGAAAGGGCCATATCATCGTCACCTTCACATCCCGAAGCCTGCAGTGCCACAGGCACCCACCAAGCTTTGCTGACTGTGGAGAGGAGAGAGCTTGCTTCACACTGGTGTGTAGGGACCACAGACTGCCTGATGCAGGTGGGAGGACTTTGGCTCAGCCAGAAAGATCTGGGGTGTGGGCATTCTGAGTTGAGGGAAGAGGCATTTCAGGCAAGGAAAACAGTAGCAAATACGTAGTCAGCAAGGAAAGGAGCCTGCAGAGCGCACAGCACGTGGCTCGGTTTGGGTGAAGCAGAGGGTGTCTGAATATGAGGAACACCTTGTGGAGGAAGGCTGGGCAGACCACAGAGGCCGAGGACCCAGCAGGCTCAAGTACTTGGGAACCTATCACAAGGAAATTATTCAAAATCTGTACACAGCCAAACTGACCTACAGACTCAACCTCATTCCTATCAAAATCCCAGCTGGCTTCTTTGCAGAAACCGACAAATCCTAAAATTTATATGAAAATTCCAGGGACCCAGAATAGTCAGGTCATCTTGAAAAAGAAGAACAAAGTTGGAGGACTCATAGTTTCAAAACCTGCTACAAAGCTACAGTAATCAATCACGACTGGCATAAGGAAAGACGTATAGATCGATGGAAGAACTCAGGGTCCAGAAACAAACTCGCACAGTTATGGTCAACTGACGTTCAACAAGGACGCTGAGACAAGCCAGTGGAGGAAGAATGGTTATTCAACTGGAAATTCACATGCACAAAAATGAAGTTGGACCCCTACCTCACACCATTCACAAAAATTAACTCAAAATGGATTAAAGACATAAATGTAAGAGTTAAAACTATAAATCTCTTAGGAGAAAACAGAGGCATGAATCTTGGTGACCTTGATTTAGGCAATGATTTCTTGGGTATGTTACCAAAAGCATAAGCCAAAAAAAAAAAGGTAAATGGATTCCATCAAAATAAAAAACTTTTTGAAGGACAACAAGAAAGTGGAAAAAAAACCCCCACAAAATGGGAGAAAATATTGCAAACCTTACATCTAGAATACGGTTAAACCCTGAAAAACCCAGGGGATAGGGGCACCAATCCCCCTCATAATAAAAAATCCGGGTATAACTTTTGACTCCCCCAAAATATAACTACTAATAGCTAACTGTTGACTGGAAGCCTTGCCAATAACATATACAGTCAATTAATACATATTTTGTATGTTATATGTATTGTACACTGTATCCTTACAATAAAGTAAGCTAGAGAAAAGAAAATGTTAAGAAAATATGGTTACAGTATTTACTGAAAAAAAAAAATCTGTGTATAACTGGACCCACCCAGTACAAACCCATGTTGTTCAAGGGTCAACAGTATATTAAAATATTCTTATAACTCAGTTAAACAAAGACAGCCCACTTTAAAATGGCAAAGGATCAGAAGAGACCTTTCTCCAGAGAAGACACACCCACGGCCAACAAGCACATGCAAAGATGCCCAGCATCATTAACTAACAGGGAAACACACGCCGAAACCACACCGAGAGACCCCTTCGAACCCACGGAGACGGCTGGAATCAAGGACAGTGACACGTGCTGGGGAAGCTCGGAACCGCGCGCTGCTGGTGGGAAGGTAAAACAGTGCTGCTCCTCTAGAAACAGTGAGGTGGCTCCTCAGAGAGTTAAGCACAGAGTTAGAATAGGACCAGCCATTCCATGCCTAGTAGACGCCTAGGAGAAATGAAAACATATGTCCACACAAAAACTTGCACACGAGTGCTCATAGCAGCATTATTCACAACAGCCAAAAGCAGAAACCACCCAAACATCCATCAGTTGGATGGATATGCAAAGTGTAGCGTATCCATATAAATGGCGGATTATTTGGCGATAAAAAGGAATGAGGTACTGATAGATGCTGCAACACGGAGGAACCTTGAAAACATATGCTCAGTAAAAGGAGCTGATCACGAAAGACCACAGACTGCACGATTCCACTTACAGGGAGTGTCCTGGACAGGCACACCTACCAAGCAGGCGGGTGACTGCCTGGGGCTAGCGCGGGGGCAAAGGTGAGGTGGAGAGAAGCGGAGAGTGACTGCTAATGGGGCTGGGATTCTTGGGGAGGGGATGAAATATTCTAAAACTGATGGCAATGCTTGCAAACCCTGTGAATATACTAAAAACCTCTAAACTGTGTACTTTAATGGGTAAACTGTATGGTGTGTGAACTACTGGTATATCCACTAAAGCGTTACCAAACCCCCCGATGCATAAATATATAAAACCTTTTTGTAAAAGGTGCTTAAACACATGCTTTTGCCGAGTGGCACTGTGGTGAGAAGGGTGGCTGGTGTCGGACTCGTGTGTGTCTGGTTCCTCCCCACTCCGAGGGGCGCGGCCTTGGGTAAATTCTTTAACCCCTAAGCAGTCACTGAGTCTCACTTATCGCAGATGTGAACTGGGTTCAATAATGTCCATTTCCAAAGAGAGGTCTCTGAAGATTCAATGATATCAGGTATGTAGAGCATTTATCACAGGGGTTAGCATACAGAAAATACATACTAAATATCAGCTATTATAATTATTAACTAATGCATATAATTACAAGCAAGTAATAGCAAAATGTCCAAAAGTGAGGAGACTATTAAGAAAATGAAAATATGCTATGCAGTGGTTGTCTTTGTTTAACTGAGTTGTAAGAATATTTTAATATACAGTTGGCCTCTGCGGATATGAAAAGTCTGGTCTACATGAAATGCTAGTAAAAACCCAGCAAAAATAGTGGGTCCCAGTGGGGCTAAATATGGAAAACTCAAATATGTATGACGCAGAATGAGACCAGAACTTCACAGAGAAATCACGTGTCATAAAGAAAGGAGTCTCTGTGTTCATTTTTATTTTACTGCTTCACGGTGTGGGCATCCTAAACTTAGCTGGTAAGAGTAATTAAAAATGAAACAAGTTATTTCACATCAAAATGAATACTTTCCCGGTGCTGCATGACAGCTCATGTGCATGACGGACCCTGAAGAAGCTTCTGACTTGTCAGTGACTTCTGCTCAGTTCTGCTCAGCGCTCACACGGAATCCTGTGTCCTCTGATGGGCAGTCTTCCTGGTTCTGGCCTTTCTTGTGAGCTCCCAGAGCCCCAAATGGGGACAGTAGTGCACTTGTATTCCCTGGGAATCTTCTGGTTTTTCCCTTTTGCGCCTGGGTCTGTGCCAAGCTTGGCTTCAGCAGCGCAGAGGACGCACTGAGGACGAACTACCACCCGCCTCTCCGTCCATTCCTGAGCGACCGGCTCAGCAGGAAGCCCGCTCTGGGGGAAAAGGACATCGGCCCACTTACAGGGTGCTAACCGGAACGCTACGAACTCCTGGGAGAACTGAGTCAGACACGAGTTTATTCATGGGCAAGCAGTAGGGACTCCTAAAATATTTCCAAAGAAAAATGCTTACAAAAAATACCTAAAAATATACCTGGTGGAAGGAAACCGGCATTGCGATGAGCGGTACTAAAGGGGGACTCACGTGTGTCCACCGTCTCCTGGATCGGGATGAAGCCCACAGGCAGAGTGTCCTTGATGTCAATGAGCTTCATGTCCACCAACACGTTCCCTAAATGACTCTTGGGAGGAAAGAGGAGAGAGACAGACGATTAATCCAAACACGCCTGTGGTGGGTTTGCTGTTTTGGCTTCGAGATGCACATTTACACCATGACTCCTGCAGCTTGACGACAGCAGGTTAGTTAGGGTGGGTGCCACTTACTGTTCCCCAGCGGTCACACGGGGACTCGGTGGCCCGGGAAGGAGTTTCATCTGCAGAACCTCAAAGGCACTCACTCAGACATGGCACGCCTTGGCTAGGCGGACGAGCAGCCAGGAGATGCCGGAGACATAACCAGAAGAGGGCAGCTGTGCACACGTCCCGGGACCAGCTCTCAGGCCCAGCAGGTTAGAGAGAGCAAATCCCTGGGGCAGCCGTGGGGGGGGGGGGGGGGCACGGGTGAGCGGGGAGCTGCGTCTAAACCGAACAGAGAACCAACCACACTCCTAAGTGGTTGCCAGCCTGCATATTGACACACATTTCGGCTGCTAGATACATTCTGTAAAATCCCAAGAATCATAAAATACAGCGTGAAAAGCCCTGCTGCCTCACTATTACACATCTTCCAGAATGACACGCACCAGGGCCTCTTAAAGCTTCTATTTAGTGGTGGTATATGGGGTCCATGGTGCGCAGTTGCTGTAACCAGTGCAAAAACGTCTTCCGAAGACGGCTCCCACCCCCTGTAACTGCGAGAGAGAATTATCAGTGAACGCACTGGAAACGAGCTCTAAAGATATCTACCCTACAACTTCAATACTGGGGCTACCCCGAAGACGTCATTAAAGCCTTCCGCGTAATCTGCAGTTACTGCCCCCACTCCGGTAGAGCCAGTTAAGGAGAGACGGATGGCTGCTGATCCCCATCTCCCCAGTCAGGATGCCAGCCACGCACTCTGCGTGCCCATTTCCCAGAAGCACCTCGCCCGCGTGAGCACGCTCAGGCTCTTGCTCTGTGTTGGGACAAGCACCCAGATGACCAGCCCGTCACTCTGGCCTCCACAGCACCTCCTCAGGCCTGTGTCCGTCTCTGCGCATGAGCGCCAGCCCCTGCCCTCTGCCCAATGCCAGCGAACACGCTCTCTGAAGGCCACTCAGGGAGTTCTTTCCATCTACACTCTCCGCTCTCCTCTCTCTTGGCACTATTTTCCTTCGTATCAATTTATAATGGCACATTTTCAAGGTTATTTAACATCTGTCTCCCCCCTAGAGTTTAAGAACCACCAGGACCAAAACTATCTGTCACTGCTGTAAGTCTAAGCCCAGCACAGTTCTTGGCACACAATAGGTTGTCAGTCATTATTTGGTGAAAAAAATTAATGTTTTTGGTACATTTTCAACTGGGTGGGCTGCTCAAAGTCAGAAATCAGATTGGATTTGCTGGGATGATGAATCTAAACTCTATCAATAAAAACATTAAAAGTATATTTAATATATATATTAAATTTACATTTATATAAAAGCCTAAGTGACTGTTCGACTGGTAGCTATGATGCACACTGACCACCAGGGGGCAGATGCTCAATGCACAGGCATGGAAACATGGAATAGACTGATGAATCTCAGAGGGGAGGGGGGGAGTGGGGAGGGTGGGTAGAGATTAAGATCTTATATGCATACTGGAGACCTGGTGCAAAGATTCGTACACTGGTGGGGTCCTTCGGCCTGGCCTGCAGGAATCAGGCCAAAATTGGCTCTCCAACATCCCTCGAGGGTCCCGGATTGCAGAGGGCACAGGCCAGGCTGAGGGACCGCACTGGTGCATGAATCCGTGCACACCAGGGCCTGCTGTCACAAAACCATTTCCTTCTCACAGAACTCTGCTTGCCCACTGCTTCCTACTAGTCTGCCTCGGTGGCTGCCTCGGGGAAGCAGCGCCCAGTGCAGCACGGCAGGCGGACTGGGGACCCTCATGGGCGCAGACCACATCTCTGACCGTGTGCAGGGTTTGAACTGTTAGCCTAACTTGCAGACATGAGCTGCCTCCAAAGCTGCCTCATCTAATCGATCATCATTTTTTTTCATGGCAGCTGCGTTTCCATGTCATCACTGCTTTCTGCATTGAGAAATTAACACTGGGTATGTGTCCCTGCCCCGGAGATGGATGGGCGTTCATCAATATCCTCTGCAGGTGTCTTCTGCTTGACAAGCTGGGTTTCACGGAAGTCAACTGCAAACCACTTAGCGACCGCACCCTCCACACTCTACAAATGTCCCCGATCGTGAAAGCAGAACACGGGTGGTGTGGCCGTTTTAAAAGCATCACAAACCCTCACGTGCCTACCGAACGGGAGCTGCACTGCAGAGCTCCCCGCAGCCCGCGTGGGGCCCCTCCGCGCTCGGGTTTAATACAGTGGGTCTGCGACACCATTAATTTCGCGTGTCCCTCTCCCCCCCCCCATCCCGTGCTCCCTTTCATTTCCTCCTCATAAATATGAAGAGCGTATTCCCAATCCTTGTTGAGCAAATGATTCATGCCAAAGGCCCAATATGCACTGACTCAGGGTATTTATATTGCCTCTGGTAGCCAGTGTTGCTAGTATACTGTAATTATTTTTGACAACCTTGCATTTAAGGTAGCCACAGATAACCAACTTAATATTCAAATGTTCATAAATCCTTCTGTTTAATATCCTCCCTACCTAATCTATGTACATTATTATTACAGGTAATGCAGAAAGTACAGGGCATGAAAAGTGCAATTAATCTCGATCCTTCCCCAGGAAGCAATGTCACTCCAAAGCCAGGTTTCTGTATTAATGGCATTACTGGGGGAAGGAAATTTAAGTTCCAAAGGAGTCTCCCCAAACTCCTACATTGGGAGTCTCAAGTCACCTAATTAAGAATCTGTCCAGCCTGAGATCCCCGGCCCTCCTTCACGGCCGTACAAATTATGCCATGCCGAGCACTCCCTGACAGCAGGGCTGGCCCGGATGGCTGCGGCAGATTAAACTATGCCTCATTCCTGTCCACTCCTGGCCAGCCGGGGGCCCCTCTGGATGTCACCACAGGACCCATTCGTTCTTTTTCTGAAACCAGAACGCACCTATTTCCTACGCTGCTTCAAAGGGGCGGCAGCGGTCCCCCACGGCCTGGTCCTCACCCCACATCCCTACCCGCCTCCTGGGCCTCCTGGAGGAAGACACACAAAGGAAGCCCCCAACGAGCACCTCTTCAGTGTTCAGCGAAGGGTGACTAACTCACGCATTCTCTGCAGAAGGTCTACCGTGACACCTAAGCTAGCACGCGCAGGCCACGCATCTGCCATCTTCAGACTTGTCACTGTCCCCACACGAAGGGTCGGGGACGACTCTGGCCTAGAGTACCAAGAACCCACAGCCTTTGGGGGAAACGCAACAAAGACAGAAATCAAGAAAACACACACACACAGGCACACAGACACACACACAGACAGCACACAGACACACACACACACAAACACACACACAGACACACACACACAGACACACACACAGAGACACACACACACACACAGACACACACACACACAACACACACAGACACACAGACACACACACAACACACAGACACACACAGACACACACACACACACACAGAGAGACACACACAGAGACACAGACACACACAGACACACCCAGACACACACACACACACACACACACACACACACACACACACAACAAACCAACAATAAAAAGTGGTATACGAGATCATGGCTGTCCTGGGAGGCCACCGTTTTGAGCCGAAGCCTCCTCAGGCCCGATGGGGGAAGACTGAGCAGAGATCTGAAATGACACCGTGAAGCCACTGAGCAGAGCGAGGGCGTCCCCGGAGTCCGTCCTCAGCCCCGAGCGGCAGTGAGCACGCTGACCTCTGCACACAGGGGAGGCCAGGGACAGAAGAGGGGTGACGAAAGTTAAACACATGAACAGTTTCAGAAAAGGGTTTAGGTAACTCTGGCACAAAGGGGCAGGGATGCCCTGTGTGAATGCGATGCCAGAGGGAAGGTGGGGCAGGGGGGATGTCAACCCGGCCTGCAGACCTGCCCTCTGTGTCCTCGGTGGCACGGTGAGCCCCGGGACCTGCTCAGACTCATTGCGGCGCAGCTGCCGCCTGCCGGCCTGTCTGGTGAGAAGGATGTCGGAGTGTAGCACCAGGACTGTGCCCCCTCCATTAGAAGCTGCACTTCACAACAAGCAGACGTTACCATCGTAATTAGGGGGGGAATTAAAGCAATGACTTCTCCCCAGTCCTGCATATGCTATGAGTAATTTTCCTTCCAAAGACTTCGCAATAAGCACAGGCATGTTAGGTGGAAGAGTGGCGGCCAGAGAACCGCGTGACTGTCTCCAGCCAGAAAACGCGGCAGGGACAGGCCGGGACCCCGGGCCTGGACCGTGGGCTGTGGGGCTATGTGACGGGAGAATGACCGTTTCTCTTCCCGCTCATGCTTCTGAATGAAGATGTCTAAAGTTGTTTTTCTTTTTTTTTTCTTTTTAAAAAAACACATATTTTTTATTGATTTCAGAGAGGAAAAGAGAGGGAGAGAGAGATAGAAACATCAGTGATGAGAGAGACTCATTGATCAGCTGCCTCCTGCACACCTTCTCCTGGGGATTGAGCCAGCAACCCAGGCATGTGCCCTGGACTGGAATCGAACCCGAGACCCTTCATTCCGCAGGCCGACACTCTATACACTGAGCCAAACCAGCTAGAGCCCCGTTTTTATTTCCTTTTTAAACCATAGCATAGCTTACTGTTATAATAAAATTTATAAAAATAAATTAATAAAAATATTTCAAAAAAACTTTGCATCAGAAAGAGACAGGAACACTTAGGCCCAAAATAAAAAGGCTCCCCTGAGAACGGAAACCTGCTCCCTCTCGGGGCGAGGAATGAAGGTGACCTTGGAGAAGCCCCAAACGCTGAGCTCCGGAAAGGGCGAAGGCTCCAGGTGGCTGTCCCGGGAGCGGGGAGGGGTACTGGCAGGAAGACGAGGGCAGGCCCCACGCAGGGGACATACTCAGGAAAGCGGGCTCCTTCTCCCAAAGCTGCCCATTGAAACACTATTGGAAAAGCTTGAACAGGTATCATCAAAAATTCCCCCATTTATGGGCCCGAGTATGAAAAACTAACAGGAATGGGCACTGGTGAATGCCGACCTGCAGACACAATGGAACGCCCATGTCGTACAGAGACTCGGGGGAAGGACTCATTCTGGGACCAGGGCTGAAGCTGTGGAAAGGGGTGACCATGCAGCGCCTTTCTAGCTGCGCCTCCAGGTGTGGGGCAGCTTTTAACCGGCTCTGCTGGAAAGTTCTCCGTCCCCGCCACCTGGGATTTGCTCCTCAGAGGGAAGGTGGGCACAGGGGAGCTGCTGAGGAAGTTCCTGGTTTCCCTGAGAACATTTTAGTGGGATTCACAGTTCACCGGGGCACCTGGTTAGTAACACTCTTCATCAGGGAAGCACAGCGCGAGCTGCCGATTCTACCCAGTTCACTGAAACCACAGAGACGTGAATATGGTGATGAGGATCAACCACAACAAACACTGGAGGAAATTCAGGCAGGAGCATGCGTGGCTTGTGCTCACTCAGCAGACGGAAAGGCACTACTAGACTTACATTTTCTTTGGAAAATGATCTTGTGAAGCACAGGTATCTGGTAACCTTGGATTTAAACAAGCCGTCTTTCCAGAGGTCAGCGTCCACACCATCTGCTGTCTGTGCGACCTACACCAAAGAGACAGAGGACCGCAGGTAAGGCGGTGGAACGGGAGCGCGCGAGCCGCTTCTTCGTACCTGTGCCAATTAACACCGGCCGGAACTCTCCTGGCATCTCATTAGTTCATTTCACTGGGCCCTGGGAAGAGATTTTCCAAAAGGGGAAAAGGGAGAGTGTGAAAAACACAACTTCTAAAAATACTGTCCCCGGGGAAGCCATTGATTAAAGACACCCTGACAAAAGTGGTTCTAATGAGAAAAGAGCAACTTTTGTTGTAATGGACCAAGGAGGGATTGGAGAAGTCAGCACATTAGGTTGCTCATTACCACTCACTTGGGGGGGGGAGGGGGCGGCGGTAGGGGTGCAGGAAAAAGTCCAATGGGGTGTGAAATGCCACCTGAGAGGGCACCGCTGTGGGCGGCTGACGCGGCCCTGCTCCAGGACCCTGGGGCCCACCAGGTGCTTCGTCAGTGGGGTCCACTGGGGCCGGGGCAGGTGTCAGGAAGCCTGCTCCTCAGCGCATCTTCTCGGCACCAGGTCTGCGAGTGCTATTCAAGGCCGGAAACTGCATCATGTTAGAAAAACCAGGCAGACCCAGTTCCTGGCTTACAGCCTCCCTAGGAAGCCGTGTGCTTGTGTACAGATGCAGGCATTTTCCTCTAAGGAGAGTTCAAGGACAAAGCCAGCCTTGATTTGGGCCTCACAGGACCTGTGCACTGGCTGCGGGTGGGGGCAGGTGTGAGGGCTGGAGGTTGGGGGAAGGGCTTGTGATGAGATGGGAGGAAGGGGGAAGGAACTGAAGAGGACAGGGACCTCCAGATGCTTCCAGGGGGCCTGGCAGGGCTGGGTCTGCCCTCCGCTCGGTAGCCTAACACGAGTCTTACCAGCATCTCGTCAGAGGATTCATCGGCCTCCAGCACTTCAGCTGGCACCCAGGGGGACCCCAGGAAGGCTCAGGGAGCAGCATCCCTGCCGGGGTGCACTCGGTGTCTCCCTGCTCGTCCCTGAGAGGCATAGCCTCGGGCTGCAGTCCTCGATCTGACGACCTCCCGGCTGTGCTGACAAACTACTGAGAGCATCTCCTTCCTTCACACAGACACTGCTGGCGTCAGCCCCGCAGGGGAGCAGCTCCCGGCACAGCGGCCCAGTTGCACGCACCAGCAGGGGTGCCGGAGCCCCACAGCCATTCTCGGAGGCTGCCCCAGGAAAGCCCACAGCCCCACAGGCAGAGGAAAATGCCTTTTTTCAAACCCAACGATGGTCAATTAGCAAATGCTACGAAGGGAAGGACGGACAAAGGTACTTCTGCTAAATACGCAAATATGTGTGGCCTGGAATCTGGAAGAAATGTATGGGGATAATGTAGGAACCGCTCGCTCCACCGACGTCATCCCCACAGAAAGATGCTAGTTCGGGATGAGACCTCATCAGCACGTTCCCGTGACGGTCACACATCAAGTTTCTTGAAAAACATGAGAGTTAACGCAGTGGCCCCAACTGGCCACTGCCAAGGACCCCTTGGTGTGTTTTCTTCCTTGGATCCCATGTTTTGAAAGATTTTTTTTCTCAAACTCTACTTTTACTGTATTTCCTAAATTCTAGGATGGAGTCATTTGGGGATCACTCAGAGATATAAAGAAATACCCCTTTAGAAAAAAAGAGAAATAGTATCATATCAAAATGTACAAATCTATTTTTAGGTGAATCCCAATTTCGGAACCACTAAAATGTGAAAATAAAAAATGTATAGGAACAAAGAAACGCCATGCCACCTGAAACCTATTTGGTTTCTCTATAATAAATGCATTATTGTTAATACATTAAAAACAAGTCTGCAGAACCCTCAACGTCTGAGGAGCCACAGGCTGCTACCCCAGAAGGAAGAAAGCTGTGTCCTCAGCTCCCACGGGGGGCGGAGGAGTGGGTGTGCACGGCACCAGGCTACTGCTTCCAGGAAATGACGATTCCCTCTTCCCGCCACTGGCAGAACTTCCCTTTGTCTGAGTGAGAAGACACTTGAACAAGATGGAGAGGCCGGGGCAGCAGAGTGAGGGCAATAGGCCGGCCCGTCCTCAGAGTCCCCCTTCTCCACCCGGACCAAGTCTGAGAAGCATTATAAATGGACAACCAAACCAAAGGCCAGGCCTTGCCCTGAGGCCACAGCTCACCTGCAATGAAGCAAAGATGTGTAATGCCCTCCGACCCCGGCCAACGGGAGGCAAGGCAGGAGGGGAGCGGGTAGCCGGTCCTGAGTGTCCACCACAGTGAACGGAAAAGTCCTACCCGAAGCAGAATAACAGAATCCCACCAAATCTGGGATTTAGAAAACCACCGCTAACACTTCTACGGAGAAATGACAGGCCTCAGACAAGGCTGTACACTGCATCCCCATGACCTGATTATTTTACAACTGGAAGTTTATGCCTTTTGACTCTATCTAACTTTTATCATAAGAAAACCAACAACTTAAAAGACTGCATTTGATGAGGGGAGAAATGAAGATCTGCCTGAGAAACACCGTAGAGCAGCTGTCTAGCTGAGCCTCAGGCCAGGCCAGCACTTTGCCCAAGAGAAGCTCCTGAAAGACCACAGCTAACCACCAGATTCCTCAACCTGTTCACACGCCGGTGTGTTACGAGAGCCCACCCGCAGTTCAAAGATGTGCTTGGCAGACAGAAAGCAATCACAGGGGCCAGGAAACTCTGCAGACATTCCAAAGGAAATATCTGGCTGACACTACGAATAAGAATGGATTTCAAAGAGCCCTTGATGTGTGAGAGCCTGCGCTGTGGAACACAGTCAGCCGGTCAGTGGCCAACCACGGAGCCACGTCAGCTCTCAACCGGAGCAGTGCGGGCGCAGGGAGGCAGGGGCCGCGCAGCCATCCTCGGATCCCACAGGAGGGGTGCCCCAGGTGCTTCTAAACACCATGAAGGGGAAAGAGCCATTCGACCTGGCTCGTGCTGAGTTGAAGAACTCCAGGTGTTTTTCTGGTTCTGATTTCGTTTGCATCGTATCACTTTGTATCCTGAATGGAGAGCTCAACTTGGCCACAGAGCTTCAGTTGAAAATGTCTAATACTTTTTAGCAAAAGCAATGAATGCGCGTCTCTGTCAAAATGTTATTAGCATTCTCCCTCTGATTGGTAAGATTCTGTAACTTTTATTCTCGGTCTTGCACTTTTCTGTGTCTTCCCAATTGTTTACAAAGAGCATGTGTTAGTTCTGTATTCAGAAAATGAACACATTAAGGAAGGAAGACATTGGTCAATAGCATTCAAAGCTGAGACGAGGCCAAGAATTAGAAAAAACAAATAAACAAACAAAAAACTACTGAGTTAGACAGTTAGGAACTAAGGGGCGAGTGAAAATAATGACAAAGAGATGGCAATAGGAGGCCTGGGCAGGCAGGGCTTACTGACAAAGACAGGGCTGGAAGCTGGGGAGGTGACAGGATGGTGGCAGTGGCAACATCTCCTCGTTTTTAGGAATGGGGACAGCAGCAGGTGTGTGTGGGAAGGGGTAGAGAATGCAGACAGAATGAATGGATTTACACAAGGAGGATTAACAAGCAAGAACGGAGACAGAAGGAAGTAGCAATGAGACCTCCCCTGGGGAATTCATTTGGGAAGGAAGAGGGCCACCCACAGGGGCTCCACCGGTGTCACCTCTTTCTCACTTTCTCCCTCTTGACGGGTCTGTAAATTACGGGCAGACAGGGACCACCTCTGATTCACGATTCCCAGTGCCAGGCACAGGCCCTGCTGGTGAATGCATGTGTCCCCTCTTCTGCTCCGTCCATCTCCATGCTTTATGGAAAGCTCCTCCGAGCCCAGGAGAGTGGGCTTGTGTAAAGGACACGCCCGCCGGGGCGGGGGGCAGAGAGTGCTCACCAACAAGCACAGCACAGTCGGAAAGACCTGGAGACCCCGCTTTGAGACTCCAGGACATCTGAGTGCCTTCTTAAGAACAAGGGAGTTTTCTATGAAACCAAATCACCAGCCCTCAAGGCCGGCCCAATTATAAGCCATCATTTCTGAATGCGGTTCAGTCCGCCTATGAAAACAACGTGGGTCTAAGGTACGAAGGCAACACCTTTAACAAATGGCACCGTTTTCCCGTAGCCAGGGCCCTAGCAGGATATGGTTAAGAAAATAGTGAAAACTCGAGGTCCTGGGATTAGCAGAAAATCCAGTGATGCTTCCTGGCTCCCCCAGGCTTTGAGGAAGGACACGGGTCTGCGCATTGGCCCAGCCTCCCCCACACCCCCTGCCCGACGCTGCTGGCTCCACCCCTGCCCACGCTCTCCGCATGGACCACCTGGAGTGGTGGTACAGGTTCCTGCTGGATAAGAGGAAACCATTCAGACTGCAAGGCCGGGCTCTGGGCTGCTGGCTGGTTTTAACAAAGGGGCCCTGAAAGAGACCCAGCAAGACGAGGAGGACAGGAAGAGTTAAAGTGATGGGATTAAGAGGAGACGAGTGGAACTGGTGAGTCATGAGTCATGCTCAATGACAGGAGCAAGAAAGCGAAGGAGATGAACTGGCACTTGTGACTAAGTCACCCTTCCTGCTGACTCTATTACTCAGCTCTCAAACCGCATGGCCAGCTGTAATTGCATTTCAATTCATGTTTAACACAAACATAACTTAGCTGGATGTTGGCATCCAGTATCCCAGACACAGAAAGGCAAAGAGGAAGGAGCCAGCTAACTCGATTCAATACAGCGCCTTTGCATGCCCGGTGGTGTATGTGTGCACCCAGGCACGGCTGGGTGCTGGAGGGCAGCCCCAGGCAGACGCCTTGCGATGCCGAGACACGTATACACCGACAGCTGTGGTTAAAAAGTGGTAAGAGCCACAATAGAGGAGAGCACACCCACCATCAGAGCACAAGGCGCTACCACGTCATTCCACGGGGAGAGGGACGGCGTGCATGCGCCAAGGCACGGGCAGGCGTGGGAACAGCACAGCTGAGAAACTACGCGGAGTTCACGGGGATCGGATGAG